TATGTCGACAAAGTGTTTGTCCAGGAACTTCTTAAATTCCGACACCGACTTTGTCTCAACTACTTGATGCGGCAGGTCCTTCCATACATTCTTCACTCTGCGTTCGAAACAGTGTTGGTTAGCGACCCGCTTCAAATCCGGTACGACAAGATTGTACCGGTGTCCTCGTGTGCTATTTGGTGTGCGCAGATGAAGCAGTGGCCTCAACCTGGGGTAATCTCCCAGATGTAATATCCGGTCAACCCGCAGTCGACAATAAGTTAGGGTGTACAGCCCCAGTTTCTTACACCGGACTTTGTACGGCACACCTCATAAGTTGGGAATCAGCCTGGTGGCTACATGCTGCACTCGCTCAATCTTTCCTACCTCGTCTCGGGTGATAGGACAATACGCGGGAGAGCCATACTCTAGCATTGGTCGTATTATTGAGACGAAGAGGCGAGTGGCAATCTCTTCGGACCAAGTGCTGGAGCTGCGCCTGTGCGCCCAAAGCATACGAAGGCTGTTTTGGTAAAACCTATTCGTGTTGTCCATGGACTTTAGGTCGTAGCATGAGAGTACACCGAGGTCGCGCACGAAAGGTGCGGGATACAACGGTTGACCAGCCATCCTGTATATTCGACAGTGCTACACTTACTCAGCCTCATTAATTGCGACTTGACCGGGTTGATCGGAAAGTTGACCTCTGCAGACCACGTGGAGAGGCGGTCGAGGTCTTGCTGAAGCAGGTCACAATCATTGGGTGTGCGGATTACTCTCCACGCCTCCAAGTCATCTGCGAACAACGCACAAGGTGCTTGGAGTAGCTGAGGCACATCGTTTACATGGATGAGAAACAAAATCAGCCTCAGTACAGTGCCTTGGGGCAGGCCACTGCTCGATGGATACCAGTCGGTTACATGGTTATCCACCTGGACCCTCCACTTTCGATCAACAAGGAAATTCCTGATCCATTTGTACAGCGAGCCACCAACGCCGCACACCCTCAGCATGTCGAGGAGCACTGCATGATTTGCCTTGTCAAATGCCTTACTGAAGTCAATGTAAATGACGTCGACCGAATTGCCTTGGTTCAGCGCTTGTAACTATTCGTGCCTCGTCAACACTAGGTTGGCGATGCACGAGCGACCTTTCACGAAACCATGCTGTGCGGGCGTCAAGAGGCTTTTCGATTCGAGAAGCTGCAAAAGGCTGTTCACGATCTTTTCGAGCGTCTTTGCCAAAACAGCGGTCAGACGGATCGGCCGGTAGTTATCTACCTTGCTTGGGTTAGCACCTTTCGGTATTGGCTTTACGACTGAGCATTTCCAGTGGCCCGGTAATAGTCCAGTGGATAGTGACCTATTGAACAACTCAGTTACGGAATGCGAGATGATGGCCGATAGGGACTTGAGAATCAATGGGTGGATTCCATCGGGCCCAGCAGGCTTCGTCCCGTCAAGAATTGCTAAAAGCTTGCGTACATCTTCAATGCTGCAGTCTAGGCTGTCTAGTTCAGCAGGAGCGGTACTCATCGAACTCGTTAGAGACACCTGGTCACTTGCAAATATGGAGACGAAGTGTCCCACTAATGCAGACGCACGATCTGTGCTCGAGATTAGGGGCTGTCCATCTGAGCCTTCCAACACTGGAACATTGCCTGCAGGCCTCAAGCGCCGCTTCACATAGGCGAAGATCCTCTTGGGAACAGTTTTTACGGCGGTTGCAAGCTGCTCTTTGAAGCTTCTACTTTTTTTGTTTTCGCGGTGTTGCAGTGATTTCACTGTACTTTGTATGCCTTGTACTCCTCTTCAGAAGCAGATAACACGAGTTTGTTCCATAGTCTGCGTAGTCGTTGGGCCAGTTTGTTGTACTTCTTGTCGAACCAATGTGGTTTGACTGGCCCAACTTTCCGATACTTGAGGGCACAGACCGGTCACACAATGATTTCAATCCCTCTTTAATGATAGTCAAACCGATTTCGATAGACGAATCCTCTGGTAAAGATGAGCCCATCTGGCTCGCTGCTCGAGTGAGTCCATTAAACTCCGCTTTCCAATAGTTTGAAGGCTGGCTCCAACGGGGAGAATACGGCAGCGGCAGTTCCAAGCTGGCTGTGATCATCGAGTGGTCACTCGCTCCTAGAGGCTCCAAGACTTGAATGTCATGCACACGTTGCTCACAGCTGGTCAAAAGCAGGTCTAAGCACGATGAAGTCGCGCGCGCAGTTATGCGTGTCGGTTGGTTGGTGTGCTGTGTGGCCCCGGTTCCAAATATCAACTCCGTAAACTTCCTCTCGACTCCACAATGGCCGGGGAGTAGTTCAGCCTCAGGCCACTGTATTCGGGGTAAGTTGAAATCGCCCATGAGTAGGAACAGCTGACGACTCATGTGGTTGCGGATATGCGGCAATCAGTCGAAGCAGCGGCTCAGTGGACTGCGATATACCATGCCTACGAGTAGCTTGCAGTGTCTGAGGTGGATCGAACACCATAACTGCTCACATAGACCATCAGCGCTTCGATAGGTGCTCACTAGTCTCCTACACAAGGAAGACTTTATGTAAAGTAGAACGCCACCGCGATCATTTGGTGGTCTATCACAGCGGAAGCATGAGTAGCCGCTGCTTTCCCCTTCTTGAGTGGTTACGTCTGAGTTTAACCATGTCTCAGCAAGGCCTAATATGTCTGGTCGCTGGGAGCTTACAAAGTAGTACAGCTCATCGCGCTTGTTCATCAGACTGCAGACGTTAGTAAAGACTACGCGCAGGCCGCGGTAGGAACCGCTGGGCGCGCCTGAAACATCAGAAACCTGTTGATCCGGATTCGCGGAAGAATCCGGATGAGTATCCGAGAATTTACAATACGGAGATTTGTTTCTCCATCGTCCGTGCGTTGCTTTAGTTCAATCATCGCAGACTTGAGTTTCTCTCTGTCTGCTGGGTCTAAGTCAGCGCGCACATGGATCTTTAGACCTTTCAGCCTATTAAGGCGGGACAATATTAAGACTTGCCTCTTCGACAAAAGTCACCCTCATAGGTCGACTTTTGCCCTCGGTTCTCTTTCCGAGACGAGCGATCTGTTTCACTTTGAGCCCGCCCTCACCCATGTCGAGCAGTCTATCAATCACAGTTTGCAAAAACTCGACATCATGTACATAGCGCACCTGAGGATTAGAATCACAGGATTCAGGTACGCGAAAGACCATGAGGCTGCGGCGCCTCAGATCGCTGGACATTGTTCTTGGTTTCTTTGGTGATGATGATGATGGCGATGATTGCGATGGCTTTGCTGATGACAATGCATCCATGCCTTAAGAGCGTCGCGTTACAGACCATTGGTGCTCACTCGTTCGGTAGAGCCACTACCTAATGCCACAGCACTTAAAAGTGTTCAGTTACTCCAGGGGGAACAACACTACAAACAACCGTTATCAGTTTGAACGCCTAATTGTCTCCTGTGCGTATTGCTTCTATTCGCAAAGGCTGCTTTCCACGCGTGTGCACAGCATATGATACACTTGCTGCTCTAGTCACACGTTGATTTTTGTCATTTTTCACTAGAGAGCGGCGCCATTGTAGCCATCTATTCTTTGGATATGCAAAGCCAAAGGTATCACAAGACCTTCCCGTTTAGACAAAGTAGAGTGGCTTCATCTGAACCGATACCACATATCGCTTGCTCTTTTATTGCTTTAGACCCACTTATCGCATCTGCGATCCAGGTCACATCATTAGTATTCATGTTACCGTACGCTGCGTTGGCTTCTGAAGGCCCTAGTAACTTCTAAAATGTGGATACCTCAGTCTGTCAATTAAAAATGCTAACAGGCTTTGTAGCACACTGGCAATTCATCGTGTCCGTCACTGGGTGAAGACGTCACAAGAGCCCCCATCATTGACCACCAGAGTCTATGCAACATTGGTCTGAGGACCGATTAAGTAATGATTATGTCTGTCTTTCTTTGTTTGTCATTATATTGCGGCGACGTCCTACTCAATTCTAGGCCACACTCTACATGCTCGCCGTACGTGTACCTTAATATTCTCTTGCTCAAGTGTGCTGATAATAACGAGCGAATTTTCCACTTACTCGTCAGCCACGATATATACACCAACCGCACCGCTTTCCATTGCGATTGCGACTAGCCGATGACCTGACGAGAGTGTGTTCACTTGACTAAGAAATGAAAAGGAAGGACATCAGCAATACACCGGCACGTAGTACTGACGCTTTGCTGCCGCGCAACTTGGGTTAAGGATACTGCGAGGGCCGCCCAGTCTCCTACGCAATCTCAGAATTACAAGACTGTGATACCTAAGTTCACAGGGTCGCTTGTTGTTTGACTGATAGATTTGGAATAAGTGCTGCTCTCATTTTGTATAGATAAAGAATTCTAAGTAGAAACGTATTACAATTACGTACAATTCCCTACACATGTTTCCAAATGGTTATCTTCAAATGCAACGCGGCACATAATGTTTGGTTGACAAATTAACTTGTCTACAAGCTCAACGCACATAATGTGTGTATGTTTTCCCTAATCGCACACTTTTGGGATGCTTACTACAGTTTTTAATGCAAGTACTGCATTAGTATTTTGCGCCAATTTCTTGCGGCCTTGTCGTCAGTAGTCCATGCTTGGTGGGAAAAGATATCCAAAGCAATACTCGATGAGCAAATCGCTACACTTATCGCTATCGGGCACCCCTTTTCAGCAAACGCGATGTGTAGGCCGAATTAGCCAACATACGGTCCAAGAGGACTAATTGCCTGGCTATCTCATCAGAGTACTTACGTTCATTTAATGACAAACTTCCCATAAATGAATTCACTAATTTCGTACGCTTTTCACAGTCTTTCTGAGTCTGTGACCCATTCTACCTTAGATTTGTATGCGAAATGGGAGTAACTAATGAGGCGCAGCTTTTTAGTCTTTGATTGATACTTAATTGCTAATTATTGGGGGTCATTAATGGAGTTTCATCGCCATTTCCGTACATTTACCTACTCGTTCCACAGGATCCTTCCGAAACTCCAGCACCCGTTCGTATCGAGACCAGGGAGGAGCGCAAGGAGAGAAAAGTGAGCCTCAGGTTGCTGGCCACATTTTTTGCAGCGCAGAGGAAAACAAGAACAAGCGAATTATAAGTTAGAGCAGGATCTAGCTCTGTGTAAGTTACTGTTTATTTTTATCATTTCCCCTGAAGGGAATCCTAAGAAGAATCCATCTGCGACCTCTAATCCCTATAATACCATGTTTGTTGCAAGGATGGTAAGTTCGAATCTTCCCCCTTTACGTCCGTAGAACTATGATACTAGTGAATCGAAGCTCAGGCGCGAATGCGAGATGTACGGCCGGGTCCTTCAGGTGAGATGCGATCGGTCTAACTATGACGTGTCGTACATTGTAGATCGTCATGGTAAAAAACCAGATCACTGGCAAGCCGCGTGGTTACGCTTTTGTCGAATTCGAACACGAGCGGGAGATGCACGGTAAGCCGAAAGTCGGGCAAATGAAGGCACCTGGTTGCTAATTTTCCCTTCGTACGCTTGTCCAATATGCTCAACTGAAGGCACTCATAGGGACCACTGTAGTACTAGTAGACATTCGCGAGCCGTTTCTATATTAGAAGCAATAGTCCACTTCGTGATTCTCATTTTACGGTTTGTTCTTTTTTCTTCAGGCCTCTATTCGTATACGCCTGCTCACACTGCTTGCTGCAGTCCAGTCCTCATGACTGGTCTTCAATGCATTTAAAACGCCGAATGTTCACAGGCAGAGACAGGGTGAAAGACGATTAACTGCTGAAAAATCTGGCTTAGGTTTGTTTGCTTGGTAAGCTCATACATCACGGTGAGCCCAATTTCTTCCCGAAACATAAGCCTCTCAAGTGGTCTTTCAAGATATGCCTCCGGCTCTCAGCCTTGGTATGTCTGTGGCTCGATTTCACACCTTTTGACCCTGGTCGCTTTTTTACCATCCTTCAGCAGCCAATGTTGTTAATCTGACATACCTCACTGCTTTCTTTTTTGGTGCGCCAATGAGGAGCACCTATGGGCCTAAGTGGAACTTCGGGGCGCCACTCAAGTCGAGTAAACCTCTCGTCTCTGTTGGCCTAAGGTGCCACCGCTTGGGATCGCATCTCGCTTACATTAAAATTCGCTTTAGTCCTACTTCATCTGAACTGTACACCCTTTTCAACGTGACAAAACCACTCACGAGCGGAGGGCTCGCAGATTGGTTTACTATGGGTTACCATATAGCATCTACTGCATTTAACCAGATTCCGCCTAACCCACGGTTCGATGGCTTTCCTTAAACCATTACCTGTACCTTTGTATGTCTTAGTTGAACTTGTTTCCATAGACGCTTCCTTCTCCATTTGATGCCCGCCTGTTGAACGTGTTTCCCCCGTGAAAATGTGGCATATGTATGGCCATCTTATCACGAAGTTCGTCACATCTGGGCTCAACCAGACGGTCATCACGTGCCCGGAAAAGCGCTATAAGCGTTTCATCCTTTCGCGAGTCGTCAGCAGTGCGTATCCCATCTGGCCCTGGTGAGGCTCGAAACCGCATCCCTACTGTTGCTAGTCTGTGCTTGAGACCACCTAGCTACGGGAAACGGTTACGACCTGCGTGTCTAAGTAACCAAACGTGGTGTAACGTCACTCACTGCCAACCTGCACGTTACTGCTGTGCAGAGGACAGAATGAGATCCCTCTCACCAAGCGGTGCTATATCGCATCTAGCAACTTGCTCACGTCGGTCGCCAGTCTGTCCTTCGTAGCCCAGTTGTCTTAAGCACTGACTGGTAACAGTCCGGTTGTGGTTTCTAGCCCCACAGGGGCCAGATGGAATGCGTACTGCTGACGATTCCCGAAAGAATGAAACGGCTGTACAGTGCCTCTCCAGGTGTGATGGCTGTCTAATTGAGATTAGGTGTGGTGTACTTCTTCTTGCACTATTCAAATCCCTCTACTACTTCCTTGCATCATATTAACACGGGCTATTGCTGCCTATCGAGTAATACCTCGTTTTGCGCCCTTATGTTAGGCCAGCTGGTTTTCCTATCGGGACTACTACCCATTTCTCGTATTAGTTTGTCTGCATTCATTGATTAGTTTCACTGCTTCTTAGCGCTTCATTCTATTCTCTCATTCGAAGTACACACGTTCACTCCTGACTCGGCGCTTATACTTACCTTTGGAGTCGTGAGCAGACAATGGATTTTATATACCTGGGTAGGAGCCATCCGCTTCCCTTGGTTTCTGATTAGATTAAACTGACATCGTGACCCATCGTCTGCTTCCGCTTTCCCTAATTTTTATTCCATAGAATGTTCCCTCAGCTGATGAATAGACCCCACCATCGGCTATTCGCTCTCAGAGATCTTTTGCAATTACCTTATTTGTTCCCACACCGCACGTTTTTACACACGGTCGATATGTTCGATCAGTCTGGCCACCGTGAATTCTGACACAGGTTTGTTATCCATGTACACACTCGCAGTATGATTGATTCGCATTTGTTACCGTTTCTCGTTTTCGGCGGATGCATTGCTTACTTTTGTGTGGCCTAATATTGGGTCCAAGCTGCTGTCAAGTCGCTAAATGGAAGGAAAATTGACGGTATGCGTATATTGACGGACATCGAACGTGGAAGAACACGACCAGATTGGAGGCCTCGGCGTCTGGGTAAGTTCCATGTTGTTTTACCGGATTGAATTGAAACTCGCATCCTCTTCGTCGAATAACTACGTTATGGCTGCACACTCAACAGTGCGATTCACATACTACGTCTATGCACCATACTGGATGAGTACTGCTCCCTCTGCGTTTGATTACGTTACTGTCCATTTACTCACTATAACTGCACCAACCGGTGACGTTATACAAACGGTGTTAACTACTCCGTTCGTTAGACGGGAGGAAAACTGGATTTTGCCGGTGGTGCTTATGGAACTGTTATTTTCATGTGGGCACTGAAGGGTCCTGATTTGATCGCCGAATCCACCGATCGCAACCTTGTTGTCTGTCGGTGTCATTTTCCCACGCTAACATGGTCGTTCCATCTCTTTGGACCCGTGCACCCCTGTACTCAACCTTGTTGATGTAAGGACTGTGATTCCCTCGTGTACGTCCCGCAACTCCGCGGAATTTCGGTTATAGCAGGTTATATCAACTGCATTTTGGATAGGTCGCCTGTCGAATGACGTTCGAACAAACGCATCAAAGGGAATTGACATCGACAACACCCTTACTTAGCTCGGACTCCTCTTATGTTTTTGACCGAGTTCCCTTTCAATACCAGCGTTGATGATCGGGCCCAGCCTGTTCACTATCTTATGTATTGCCCGCTATGTTTTCCTCTTGGTTTTTGTTAGTTGCAAGCCTTTTAGACTTTGAATTGCAAACCTTAAGCATTGATTGCAACTGTTGATACCTTACGTTTATATCTGACAATGATAATATACCTGTTTGACGTCGAACTTTATTCACAGTGATTTGTCTCTTCCACTAGACACAATAATTGCTACAAAAGCAGCAGTTTCCATCTACTCATGTTTTTCAGGCTTTTCTTGATGCAAAAGCGCCCAATATTACAATTACCTAGCGACGGCTGTGGTTATGCTTTCAGCCGACTTTCTTTTGAATATCTGCGCTGGCGTCTCAGTTCAGATTTTCTCGGATTCATATATAATGTCAAGTAGTCAGTCGAATATAAATCTGGTCATAATTGTGGCCAATGCACGTCTATCTCACAAAATGAACTTGACATATGCGGGATAGATGTACTGGGCTTCGTATTACACACTCTCAGCTTTGGGTTACCAAGATGCTATCGAAGGTAGCGTACTGTTGATGCCATATATACTTGCCAGCCCGTAGCCTAAAGGTAGCGAGGTTGTCTTGCAATCTGACGGCGTGGGTTCGAGCCTGCGTAGGAGCAGAGCGATCCTCGCAGTATCCTTAGCTCACGTGCGACTGGTGGTGGTTGCGCAGCAGCGAAGCATCGGTGCTGCATACCGGCGTACTGCTGGTGCCAGGTACAGTTGTCACAAAAGGAAACGGAATACCTTTTCGTTGTTTTTCTCGCACGTCATTTTTCTTTTTTGATCATTTTCAGTTGTTGCGTATTAAACACTTTACTCCCGACAGTTATGTACGCAGATCTTCCGCTGATTTCAGTTGAGTCCCGAATCATCGGCATTCCTTATCTTAGTGTCTACAGCCAGTCAGTCGTGTTGGTGTAATTGCTGCCGCCAGGTGAACCACTACGTGGTCTCTCCCAGACTAATCCTGCACGGCGAACAGGGTACGATGGAGTAAACACTCTGATGACACAACCAAGCCCTCTCAATCGGGACAATAAAAACTGCTTATTGGAAGGGAATACCCACATTCATTAAGACACGAAGTCTAACTTCATTGCTTCAGACACGTTGTTACGGCCACCCCCGAGCAGTCCTCTCTATGCACCTATTATCGAAGGCAAAATGTCAGCGCATGTCATTACTGGCCACTACTCGCTTTCATATAGCCACGCTGCTGGAACTTTGACGCTGTAACCCCGGTTCTTTCCTGAGATCAAGACATCCCAACTACTCTACAAGCGTTTTAGGTTGACAAACACCAACCGAGCTTTAGCGATACGGAGAGAAACTTCCTGTCTAATTATGCTACCAGCAGAAAAGCAGCTGCCTAGGTGGACAAAGTTATCTACCTGTTCAAGCTGTGTATATACAATGGACCAGGTATGGAGCAGCAGTTCACACTTCGAGGCGACGAAGCACATACTTCAATCACAAAACCGTTCAGAATGGTTTGTATACTTTGCGGGTCGTCGCCCGGTAAGGCGATGTCATCAGCATAACCTTGTTTGGCTATCGCCAAGCCATCCGCTTCGCAAATAGTCTGATATCAGGTTTTCTGTGACCGGTGAACCAAACGAGCTGGAAGGGCTTGTCAGAAGGGGCAGAAACATTCCCGAAACACACAGGTTTCGCTATCACCGCGCAAATGTTGTCTGAAAAGCCGACTGACAGAACAGTGCGCTTCATTATGATCAAACTCTGGAATATTTCTGCGATGGTCATAGAGATCCAGGGGAATGATCCAAGCCTTCAAAAAGTGTCCAGTAAGATCTCAAATTAACTGTGCAGAAGAGGTCAACATTTTCCCTTGCGGTGGATTGCAATTGAGTGCATCCATCTGGGAAGATTGATAGCTCGGACAGCCTGTTTTTATCAATGTTAAGAAACTTGATCTTCGGTGATCATCAGAAACTCATGCGGATGTTTACACGGATCAACTCGTGTTCCGAGTCAATAATGGTTGAATAGATTGGTCTTCAATCTCATACACTACCCCGCTATCTGAAACTAGATGCTAGGTGATCAGTCTGAGGTCATGCGGAACGTCCGACGGTATGTACACTTGAACACCGGTTGCTTCGAAACTTTTCAGGCTTCACTCATGAAGATCAGTCGATTGTCGGGTTATGTGATTCATTCACGCACTGTATGCACGGCCTTCATTGTACCTACATTAGTTGTATCGCATCGTCAGCTATCCACGCACGTTCGAATAATACTGATAGATTAGTCTAGACTAGTTGTCGGTCTTTTCCACCTGTCAGGCATCGACGAAATGTGAAACCGAAAAGTTGTTTCATCACTTGCGAGACCCGCGCTTTGTCCTCGTGTATCCGAACTACTGACGACACACTAAAGCACAATTTCACATGTTTTTTTACTCGGTTTTGCCTATTCTAACGAGTATATACTCTTTGGGAGTACCACTCGAGCCGCGTCCAGTTCACTTGTCGAATAGTACTCTTGATGACTCCCATGCGTACACACCTCACGCAGACATCCGTCGCGTCTGCACACATCATAAAGAGCATATGACCGCGGACATCTAAAGTGGTTGGTAGTGGCTCAGTGATGTTTTTACCGTTACAAGCTAGTTCTGGAATTGACATAAGGTATCTCTAAACTCATTTTTTGTTAGGTTTATCATCTTAAACAACTGTTGTTTCTCGATGCTGCATAATTGCCTATCCCAGTCATATCCTATCCGAATAATCATTTCTTTACATAATATCACTCGGATTTTTGTGCTTGGTTTACTAAGAAGGCAAAACGGTTTGTTAAAGAGAAAAGCGTGAGTGTACACATACATGCATTAAAGTGCTTCATTACAAAGCCGACTGCGTCAGAATGGGAATGCTAGTGCAGGCCTTCGCCCGTTCACCTCAAGTCGTTCTTCGAGTCCTGTTGCACCCACATGAATCCTCCAACAAATGCCACTCATTTCTGCATCTGATTGGCCTCCCTTTATGGATCTTCGGAATCTGCAAATGGTTATTGTTGGAACGATCCTACCGTCGACATCACACTATCGTATTTTGAACGTGAACCGAGAGGGGTTACTTTAGCAAGTCTGCTGACTGACCTATGTCTCGTGCCGATGCTGTCAAGAAGCGTATTCACTTAGAACTTATTTATTTACACTCAGTACGCTTCTATGTAAGTACGTCATTGCAAATTAGACGCATTGTTCAGGGCATTCGTTCATGCGTACGCGTCATGATATTGGTATACACCAAAGAATTCCAATCAGTGGGTCCTCTTAAAATGCCCGTATTTCCCTAAACTTACGTAAACCGAAATGCACAGTGAGTGGCAGAACCGTCACAACGAGACTGGACCTCAACGTGGTGAGGCGGTTTGTGCACCTCGTCGACTTATTGAGCTGTACTGGGTGATGCCCTGGGGCCCCCTTGAGAGCTACTCCTACCAAGCTGGTCGATGGTTAGAAGTCAGACGAACTCAATCTCCTGGTCCTCCAGGTTGAGGATTGGTAATGGGGTGACATCCATTTCTGTAAAACCAAATCATCGCTGCTTTACAGATAGGCTTTTGAGCCAAAGGCTTTGGTTGAGGACCCTGATGGTTCTTTCTAGATTCTAGTGCCCTGACAGTATCTCAACCCACGTATAACCATGACTTTTTCTTTTGTTGTGTTATCGCTGACATCGGTTAACCGTTGCAGCCACTGGCCACGATACAGCCACTTCCCAAATCAAAAGACAAAGGTCTTTGGCGGAGCTTGTATGGAGTACCCGGAAGACAATGTACAGCCAAAATATTGGGTTGAAATAAATACTTCAAGAGATTAAAGACCTTATTGAAAGTTCCTGACTATAGCAACTACTAGATGCGCAAAAGCTCGCTTGTTGACTGATCAGGTAGTGTGCTTACTGGAGGGCTTCAAGGTAGGTCATTCTGATTGGTTCACTTCAAGGTAAAACGATGACAATGACTAACCAATCGGCTACAAGCGGCATACGACTAATCTTCTGCGGGCTGCTTCAGACAGAGCTGGCTTCGAAGTCTGCTACGGACAGGCTCCGCTAACATCTTCAAACTTAAAGCACATCCTGTATCGGCTATCACGCAGCTTTACAAAGGCCGCCTTATCCGCTGCATGCAGCAGTGCGGATAGGCGAAAATATGCTACTTCTGGCGCCTCCCTTCACTTTTCCACTTTTTTATTACTCCCTTCCTTCTGTAATTCTCAGTTTCATTGACGGCACCACAAGGACACTGCAGTTTTACCATCTACAGCTATCTTCCTGCACCACCCAGTGGACAGCAATCCCCAATAGCCGTGCTGTCCCGTTTCCTTGGCGGCGTTCAACGTTCGCACTCTAAAACAAATAGGTCAATAAACTGCACTCTCATGCACGTTGGACACCTGGGGCATTGCCATGTGTTGCGTGTCCAGAATTTTAGTCAATGATCCTCACGGGGTTGTTGAATTAACAGCGTCCGGTTTGTCCTCACTATTGGTTGCGTGTGTCTGGAGACGCTGATGCGGCAACCGGTGGTCAGGCTGGAGTGGGCATCGTTCTCAACTGCAAGGCTGAGTCATTGTTGGTTGATTAGATTGCGGTGAACAGTCATTCGTGTGCAGCCCGTGTGACGACATCAACTAAGGTTGATTCACGAAACAGTACTAGACGTTGTTTGTTAATGCTTTTCACTTATGCCCCACCTACTGCAGTTCTTATGCTGCCATTGACGCCTTCTAACAGGAACTGAACTCGTTGCTTCGCGGTTAGCAGTTCAGATACCATAGTTTTTGTAGATGATATTAAATAAGTCATCAGAAGCTCAGGTAGGTGATTACTTTGGGTTTAACTCCGACAGGACGGACAACGGCGAGTGTCTTGCAACTGTGTGCGGAGCACCGGCTGTTTCTTAGTAGCACTGCTTTTGGACAAAGTGGGCGCCGAAATGCCACTTGGCGTCCTCCTGTAGCTGACCAGCAATGGACCCAAATAGTTTACATTGCCATAAGTTACAAGTGGCATAATCCCATCCTGGACTAGGGCTCGTTCTAGTGTACTTGCGTCGACCCTGTTCATGTTTTGGTACGCTGTCGTTTCCCCATAAACTTTACCGGTAGGCGCGCCAAGCGTTTTCCCCGATTTGCAATAGATAAATTGTCCCAGCCCTCGGTCAGGCAAGCCTATCAAGACGCTGCGTACCGAACTTTCGCTGTCTTGTCTTAATGACATTGAGCTTCAGTGGAATAGGATCTCGGCTGCCATACACGACGCAGAAGCCTCTGCTTGTGGGTACTATCAATCGTCACCGCACCAGTCACTGGATATCCGAGAGGTCGGTGAATATGTTGGGATCCAGAAGAAAACTCACGTCTGACTCTGAGCACAATGTGACCAGACAGACTGGGCGCGAACTAAAACGGAGCCTGCGTGCTGACGAGGACTATTAGGGCTGAATAAATGGAGGAAGCAATAGGCAATTATCGCAAGCTCTTTCAACTGATCCGCACCACACCCCAGGAAACCAGACGTCAGTGAGACAAACATAGCGGGTGTCGTGATTCACAATAAGGGGCGCCGTATAGCTTGTTGGTCTGGGCACTTTCGAGAGTAGTTCAGTTGGTCCCCTGCTCCTGGACCTCCTACTTCGGTGGTACGGGCTGAAACATAGACGGTTAGATTAGAGGCTCTGTCGGAGGCTGAGGTCTGAAACACGATCGTAGCTCTTAATTGTTTTCGTGCTTCTGACCCGGATTCGCTCGCACCTGCACTATTTAATGATGATGGTGAGGTCCTCTGCACAGCACCTACCTCTGTTCGACCAAGTCTAACTGGAGTGAATCGATTATAGTGGTAATATACCATAAGCGCAGTCGCAGCGACTGCTAACGGCAGAAATATTAGCCTAACACCAGTTGTGACAAAATTAATGGCCTTGGTTCTCTTTCGTCCTCTTTGCGGAACGGGAATCCTGAATTAGGGAGGAGCAGGCAGGTTTTCGGCCAGGACGGGGCTGTGTAGACCACATACTCTGCGGCAGGTGCTGGAGCAGCGCCACACCTACCGCAGTCCGACAGTAGCTGTTCCTGGACTTCAAGTAGGCGTTCGACTCGGATGATCGAAATATTCTGTTCGAGCTACTTATGTAGAAAGGTGTTCCCATGAAATATATGAACATTCTACGTGCTCTGCACTCGAACACCACAGGCCGCGTCATTTCATATCTTTTCCGACAACAAGTGGTGTTCGTCCGAATTGTCTAATTTCCTCATTTTTGTTCAATTTCGTCGTCGACCCCATCATGAAGTGTTCCCTTGCGGAGTCCCACAGTGAAAAGTTAAATGAACTTGATTACGCGAACCATATTGTGTTGCTGTTTAACAATGTTGGGAGGGGGGCCAAATCAACTCTGAATTAACTCTCTAGAGCGGTCCCATCATTTGGCATGCGCTTCGCACCCTCAGAGTGCAGTGTTTCAGGGCGACCAGCCGGTTGACGACCGTTTGACCCTTGGTAGCGAACAACTCAAGGTAGTTGATAAATTCGCTTGCCTTGGCAGCTGCATCAGCAACGATAGGCGCATAAGTACTGCAGTCAGTTCATGTGCTGTAAAAGCTAGAACTGCCTTGTTGAATCTGCGACATCTGGCGTCGGAAAGGTGTTTCCCTCGATCTGAAAGGCCGGGTTTACAAGGCCACAGTGAAGGTCGTTGTGCTCTATGGAAGTGAGACTTGGCCCTTTCGATCTGGGGGACCTGCAGCGCCTTCAAGTCCTTCATTGTCGCTGTCTGCGAAACTTTCATGGTATCAGATGGCACCAGCGTGTTTGCAATGATGATGTGCGTAGGTGAGTGCTAGTTCCTTAGAACAACAAACAGCACTAGGTTGCATTGGCTTGGGCACGTACTACTTTGCGGATCACTGCTTACCGATTAGAGCCTTGATTGTTTGCCAGATGAAGGGTAGCGCAACGCCTGGGATGGGCTGGAATTAACTTGGTAGTGGGAAATGGAGTCACTGACGATGAAACGGTGCCGTCCGTCCGTCTCATCTTCCAGGCTGGAGTCCATGTGAGACCCGCCTTGTGCTCAGTTTGAGACGTTACAGGACATGGCTCGCAGTCTGCACCAGTGTCGCCTCCTAGTGGGACTTATAATGTTTATTTATCTGCGGGGTAATGGCTGATTATGACGCGGTAAAGTAAAAGCCGCAACGAAGCTGTCTCACCGATTCCGTCTTGTCTTTACTTGATAGCCAGGTGTTGTTGGCAAGGTGTAGGCGCGTTGACTCTAGATAAATGTTTTATTCTCGACAGTGCGAAACACGCCTGCATAGGGCATTGAGGTTTTACGTCAGTTCCCCCTTATCTCCTCCTTTTTATTCTTCGTTCCATAGGTCACCGTGGTTGTACAGCAGCGAAGCATCAGTTGGTTATGGTTGTGGCAGAGGGCTGGTAGAGTGTGGAAGTACTTATATATTTTTTTCTGACCATAGTACGATAAATTACTGACAGTAACCTGCTCCCAGGTTCACCAACATCTAACGTTAGTCTGGTGAGCTTATCTACTGTCTCCGTCATCCACAGGACCAGCTGAGTTTATTGGACGGTTGCTTCATCTTACAGCACAGGTGAGAAACCGAATCAATTGTGGTTGTGCCTTCTTTTGCTAGCCTACCGTCACGCAGCGTGTGTGCACAGAGGTTGGGAGTAAAGCATATTACCTGTCTTGGAAACTGATGATAAGACTCGTCCTATGCGAGTCCATTTTGCTTATGAGGCTGATCCGCTGTTGATGCTATCCCGCCGCGGTTGGCTATGAAGGTTTAAGATCCATATTCGCCCAGACAGATCCGCTATCAATTAGCTAATACGGCTTACTGTTGATGGGAAAACAGACCTCCGCACTGTAAATCTTCGGGTTCGCCAAATTCGGATCAACAAGTCGACTGCACTTTATGCGCGCCCGGCCGTTCCTACCGTGTCATGTGTATGGTTTTCACTAACGTTTGCAGCTTAGTGAACAAGCATGACGAGCTGCGCCACTTCATTGCCTCGGTGACCGGATGCTGAGATAAATGCCTAAGAGGTCCAGCTCGTTCTTCCAGCGCTACAAAGTATCATGACGTCGGATACTACACTGCCTCTCTACTGAAACCGTTTCTGCCGGTGCGCGCATCAAGCAACACGTTGGCACCGAGGCTGAAGCATATAGCTCACCTTGTGGTGAGATAACGGATAGTCGAGGCAACCTCGGTGTCGAAGTTCCAGAAAATCCTGGACGCCTACTTTTCGGATTACATATTTCGAGAACGCATTGCGCCTGAATAAAACGTCGCATGACTGAACTAAGTTGACAGTGTGTAGCAATAAGAAGCATTGTTCAGCATATGTGCGCCACACTATTTCTGTGGAGTTCTATTTCCAGTGTTCATACCTAACAATCTTTGTTACTGCTTCCAAAACTCACTTTTGCACTCTTCCCATCTCACCTGCAGGCAAAGGCCTAGGAAAGAATCGTCACGGTCCTGCTGAGAAGATCCCCAAGCCCATTGATAGACCAGAAAATGGCCGCGAATCTACTGGATATAGCCGTTCTATCGGACGAACTTCCTCTGGTTTCACTCGCGAAAGAGACTATGATCGCAGGCACCGCAGTCGTTCCCGGGACCGTGATCGTCGGCGCAGTAGTAAGTTTTTCCGGCCACTAGTTATCGGGTTCATTCTTTCAGTGTTTTCACCTTGTAGCCGTCTGCAAGGTTCACCCCTACTGTTACTTATGTACATCTGGCGTCATCTTCAGTTATCGCTGAGACGTGCACCGGTCGATCATCCAACCACTTTGCAAACGTTGGCTTTGGATCATTCTGGCTTCACCAGTGTCATATGCAAACTGTTGAATAAAAGAGTTTGCAACTGTTTTCACACTGTGGCAACGATTAACTGGTTGGTCCCCGCGTTCCTGGTCAGGTTTGGGTGCACTGGCTGTATCTCAACTCGCGTAAAACTTCTCGCTAGTGTGTTGCAGTGAAACAGTTGCACGTAGTGCTTATGCACTGCTAATACCACTTTTTAGCCTAGACTACTATCGTACCTCGCGAGCTTTATTCTTTCCGTCTGAATCTGATGTAACAGCTCATTCATCATACTATTATCTCCTCACTACACAGGAAGTCGCGACAGATATCGCAGGCACCACAGTCCGGAGCATGATCGAAGTTACAAACGCCCACGTGATAAACGCGATCGCGGTGAGGATATGATGCGACGATACGGAGAATATGGTGCTGAGATTCGTGCAGAATACAATGGAGACATGTGACAGAGTGGCTGGCCAACTTTCTGTGCATTTACAATTCGCACGCTATTTACACAAGGCTGGACACGAATAACATTTGTATTTAAAGTTTATTGCTGTTTTTATCACAGGCGCACTATACATGATATATGAGGGCGATAAGGTGTGCAAGAGGTAAGTAAGCAGCTTGGACAGAAGTATCAGCGTTGTTGTTTCAAGGCTTGGGCGTAGCAGCAAGCAAGCAATACCCCAGTAAGCTGGAAAAGAAAAGCAAATAGATGTTGATAGCAATTTGCTGCATTCACTCGATGATCGCCTACAGTCCTGCATAAAGCTATACCTATCATGTATGAGTTGTCAATTTGAGGGTCTTCCAGGCAGGCCGTCAACAACGAGTGGTTTTTCCTGCTGTTCACGTTCTAGTTTGCGGTCGTTCAAACACACGTTGGCGGATAGAAAGTAATGGTGCTTATCTGAATGTCAACAGAAACGAGTTTTTGTGAGTAGCAAGAGATGTTCTTACCTCCACAGCAATCAGGGTTAGTACGACCACGCAGATGATGTAGTAGCGATCACGAAGCCTGTTGAAGATAGAGTGGATGCATCCCTGCGACCAAATGAAAATGGGAATGGGTTCAGGTTCGGGCACAATGTTGATAGACAATGTATCACAAAGTATGGGGTATTTTAGGTATTCGATAGAGCATCACCATTGCACACCATTAGATATTATCTAGGGTTATCAAACTATGCCCAAGGGAATGGATTCAAACCGCGGTAAATTCATGGCCCAGTCTAGCCTTGATGATGAGTGTGCCCGAAGACGTCCAAAATATCAAAAGCTATATAAGCCAGTGACTATCGATAAAAATGAGTTAGCGACCTGTACCGAGGATGTTGCATATTGTTAGAAAATTACCAGTTGTGGTATATTGCTTACGGGACCGAGATTGTAGTCGCCAAATTCAGATCGTGTTGACGAGTTTGTTATCGAAATCCCGCATCCTCGCGTGTATTTACCAACATTGCATCCAGTTGGGTAGAACTTTGATGTGGTAAGTGGATGTGAAGCTCATCGTAAGGCTAGTGACGGTCGACTTCTTTGGAAAAGGAATTGGTCACATCGGCGGTTGGATACTCTGCCGTCCCCTCATCCCAGCTGACGATTGTAATCCTTGAATACCTACGAGTACAGGGATTCGGAAAGGTTTATTTGGTTCATAGCAATTACATTACAAACCACAAGTCAGTCATCACTTCGGATGATCGTTTCGCCCTGTTGGGGCTTGTCGGTGATGCGCTTTTCCCCGGTCCCCTGCAGGGGGTCGAACCCATGACCCCTAGTGGTTAGCTGCACCACTAGCCGACTGCTTATGCCACTGAGCATGGGAGAAGATAGCCGACAGTGATGGACTGAAATCTTACTGCGATATAGCCCAACTCATCCTCCATTGTCACGCAGGTTACTGCCCGTGCAGAGAATAGTGGTTAGCCGTCCGGTGTCAAGAAGTCCCTTATCAGTAAGCCCTCTTCCGGTTCTCGAAAATACTGTGTGGATTCACGGCCAATAAGGTAGAACGTCTGATGCTTTCCCGAAATGGTGATTGACCCTTGTGGTTTGTAACCCGATTGCAATCCTTATTTATTCCCCGGGAATTATTATCATGTCGGCGTGAGTTATGGCAACTGGACCCGCCGCACAGATCATAGTTTGTAAACTGAACCGCTGGAATTCTACATTTTCAGTATACACCACCATCCGGTTACATCAACTCCGCATGGCTGAAGAGCTCACAGAGTGGCGCTCACTCAGGTCCCTGAGAGATTACGACACTCCGTCCAACTAGTCCCATCTACACGCTCAAGTCCAGTTACCACTTCGCTGTGTCGATGTAGATAAACAACAGAAATGCACCATGAGGGTAGTGTAAACAAAGGTCTATCTGTCAAATTGCAGCCTGGAAGAGTCAACATCACAGTTTAAGGGCTCCACAGCAGATATTCTCTAGTCTGGGCATTGTTTTATCAAGCTCACGCGATTTGCAAGCTAGTAGCAGACAGCACTGCTATTTGGATACCAAAATTCGACTGTTCAATTAATATAGAGCAACGGGGTGTGGTCTAACGACAAAAGTACAGTATGAGCCTGTATCTATTGAGTGGTTTATGTGAAGATCGTTACGAAACTAGTAAACGCTCCATTGAAGATATACAATGCGGTGGGGCTGCGGCTGTTCATGTTGGTCGGGCTCACGCGTACGGTGAAGTCGCTGCTCATACAAATTCACAAGTAACTGCAAAAACAGCTGTGCTGGATGCGTTGATTAAAGTCTGGGCATCGAGATTGACGAACATATCACTGAACGTTTGCGCACACAAATGGGATCCCTGGCAGCGTGGGATGGTGGTGGATAGAGTAGCACCACCAACTTCGTGACCGTACCACTTCGACCGAGTTTGAACCGCAGATATGGTCGACCAGGATGCCAGAAGGCGATTGCAGTGCAATCGTTCGGTCGCACATGGACTTCGCCAATCAGGATCAGAGCCGGAGAAAAAGTAGCCCAGAGAAGCGGCGAGCGTGTAGGAGACATGACAGCCAGTCCAGGCGACTACAGTACAGCAGATGGCTTGATGTGGCACCGGAAATTTTGTGGTCACGTGGGGCCTTCCGGGTCTCTGCGTCACTCGGCGCTCTAACAAGGTAATGAGTACCGATTCGCAAGCACGGATCGGCGAAAAGTACTAATCTCTCAGCACAGTTTCATGTACCAGACCCTATCCCACGCTTTCACACTGGAGCTAGAACCGACCAGCCTCCTGTAGAGTTGCTCCTTATGTGCACAGAAGCGAACGCGACCGAACAAGGTGTAATGACAAAACGAACACAAGACCGGGCAAAAAGATGACACCACTATTACAGTCATTTGTAGGTAAGGCACGTTGGATAGCGGAAATCAAAATGCTTTAGGTTTTTACAGGTGCAGGCGACAAGAACAATGGTTGAGTTGGGCCAAATCATAAGAATATGCTATTCTGACACATGTACATGGTTGCTCTGTGGTAAGATGCGCGCTTACTTTCTTCAGCGACACATGTTCTGTTCCTGTGTACAACCACAGCCCAATACAAGTTCCGAACCACGGACACTTTGCCGCTCCGGTTTAGGTTTAATCTAACTCTAAAGGAAACCTTAAAAGACCACATGAGCATAAAAATAATTGCGGTAACCAAATTGTTGATTAGGAAGCGAGAAGCGAGGCGACCAGCTTGGATAATCACCTCGATGGTGCGTCAGGTTACCGATGTAGGCGTCACCGTACTCAGCGTCGTTCGTACCTCAGACATCAGAGTAGTTATATCAGCGTTTTATTAAGTGTTTTCAGTCGGTTATTTGGAGACTGTATCCCATAGGAATCAATTTTCAGCGTAATTTGTGATCATTTCAATTGGATTGAGACAGCGCTGTAATGTGCCTTATGTCGTCCCAATCAACGGGGTTCACGGAAGTAATATATGTACTTGACTGCTTTCCGCACCAAATCCAGACTCGGAATTAATTATCTAAGACATCGGTGGCGCGGTTGTTATCTCCATATTATGGTAACCTTATCGTCATCGTTATCATGAGCCCCGCTGATGCACCAGAGCAGACAATGTACTAGCTGGTTGATCATCGTCACATTTTAACTTGGAAGGAACCTCCCAGATCTTAGTGTTTAACTAGATCAATTCTTAGCAACTGAAGCTGAAGGGCCACAGCGAAGTTTCTCTGATTACAATGGAGCACAACTACCTTCCTGGAGTGCGTGACACACGTCAACTGAGGCTCACAGCATATCGACCGTGTAATCTTACCCCATATACTGGATGATAACCGGAAACCAAGTCGCAATCTGCGATTGGCCATCGGGGAAGCCGCGGCATGCAGGGATCGCTTACTGAATACTGTCAGTCTCTAGGATGCAGTGGGTTCCATCCATGAACGCTCGGCCTAGCTGCCCACTCACAGTGGGTAGAGTGAAAGTGGAAGATGACCTTGTACGCCTGACGGGAACTCTCGTTGAAGCATCGAAGTGATGTGATGATTTCTGTATCCAAGTAGGAAGAGCAATGCATTTTTGCGGATCCCGTCTCAGCATGTATCTACTGGATTCGGTTGGCTCAGTGGACTCGTGAGCTGAGCTGTTTTCCATCTCTAGCTAGCGTGTATAATGCTGACGATGACTCGTGAACTGAGTCTGGATGCAAACCGCGTAGATTCGGGTGTATTGCACCAGTTCGCCTCGCACGTTACTTGTAATCACCCAGTGAAAAGATATCCTGAATAAAAATGGACCATGTCACCGCCCCGCTACACACATGGTGCCAATCACTCCATGATGGTCAGTCGATGTCTATATCTTTTCTCAGTCAATTGCACTCGCAGCGATTTTAATTTCCCCCATAAGGATACCATTTTTACCCAAAGTCTCTCTCTATATTATCCTTAACGCCATCAAATTGCGTCCAACGGACGTGAAAGCCCCTAAATGCTACTGTTCATTGAATGGGCAATTCCAAATCAACCTTTAGCATCCCACTTTGTGTACTATATCGGCTAATTTGGGAATGGTTACTCAACGAGCGGTTCGTAGGACTATATGCACTCGGTGGGTGCAACTTGGTAGCGTTAATGACCATTTTGTGAGATCTATAGAGGAACATGTTTTCCTTAAGGACTTTGAAAGTGCTATGGATGAAGTTGGCTGAGAATAGGTGTAGAAAGTGCCTAGGCAATATTCGGCCATGTGTGCGCGCACATAGTTTTCGGGGCTCCTGGGTTGCCAACGTAGCTCACAGACCACTGTATTGAATTGTAAAGTTGCTAGAATGTTAGCCGCCACGAATCAAACAGATAGACAATTTAACAAATAGACCGCAATCGACCCCAACGGGCCCATCCATTAAGTTTGCGGCGTCCGACCACCGGATAGGTCTCTGAAGTGACGATCACTTTGACAGTGGCGTGGAAGATGATTCCACTGTTGGTCGGCTCCAGAGTGCACAAGACCCCTTAAAAGGCATCAGCAGTGCACCAGTACGCAGTACCTACGCTTCGCTGCGACGCAACCACCACCTGTCGCGCGTGGGCGAAGGATAATGCCAGGGTCGCCTGGTCACTACGCAGGCTCGAACCTGCGACCTCAAGATTACAGGACAGGTTTGTGATTCTCAAGCACGCGCATGGCCCCTTGAGACTAATCGGAGGTATTGAAAGAGGGGGCTAAGAAAAGTCGATTATCGTTACAGCTTATTCGAGGTCCGGGAACAAAACTTCTGCAAGTATAAAGAAGAGTGTACACCTGGTATGCGACCAGGTGGGGAAGTTCGGATGATAGTTCACCAAACCGATGTTTGTTTGATTGTCTCATGACTACATTTAGTTCTGTTAAGCAGTTGTGATAGCACCGAAACGCGTTGGATCAGCGGCCATGACCAACAACGTGTTGATGGCAAAATGAAAAGTTTCAATCGGGAAGGTAAATTGGGAGAAAATAGAAACTTTAAAACAAATCCAGCGAAGACCAAAAAAGGCGCACTAGTTACCGAATGCAAAGTTTTAAG